TTTTCATTTCTGTCCAGGTTAGTGTTCATTTGTCTGCCATTTGGCACATGACTCTTCAATAATAGTTCACAGACCAGACCATTGCATTGTGCTGAAAGCCATTGTGATTGAAGTCTATGATGAACTACACCTCCACCCACTTGCTGCGTTCTCTCTCTTGCTCACCCCACCCAACCCCCTGTAACCTTTGCCCCTCTCTGAGGAAATACAAAAGCTTTCCTTTACCTGATGGGTTCACCTCACAGAAACCTGGCCCCAGAAATGTCATTAAATGCCAGTCTTTGGTCTTTTTTACTTGCACTGAATATTTTCAAATGCTCTCTGCTCTACAGTTGAAAAGCCTTGTTAGAACAAAATGCAAGCTTTTCACCAAGATTATACTGTCGAATCTTAACCCAAATGCATTAAATGCATTGATGCATTAAATTGTATTTTTGAATATTAACTTTTATGTGACTCTACTGAGGACCTATTTTCAATGATGATATCTCGCTCCCTCTGTGTAGGCAGATCTAAAAGTCAGGACTGGTTTAAGTGCAATTAGACTCTCTCCAGATGCTGTCCTTTCTGTCATTATGGCATTATCAGCCATCAAAAGCCCACTCTATTCTATGACCATTCAAATCCGATTCATAATTTCTCTGCAATATCAGTGTCAAAATGCTTAAAAACGACATTGGCACATTATTTCAATATAATAAGCCATTTGAGTTCCTCTTCAGGAACTCGAGCTGCGTCGGAAATGCTAGGGGAACGCCTTCTGTGACCACGCTCTGAATAACATGTGAAATCAGTCCAATAGCTGAGCGGGACGTCACGGGCGGGCGACGTCATGACCAGGAAGCTATAAAAGCACGTGCGGCGGAGCCAGCGTCAGCTTTCTGTCATTCAGCGAAGCGCTCTGTGTGTGTCAGTCATATTTATTGTTGTCTGTCAATTGTGAAAGTCTATAAGCTCCAGCTATGTCTAAGCTCATGCAAAGACAAAGCATTTCAAGGGCGAGAGCAAGCCACGTTGTAGGTTGTGTGTTCCTCCCTGCCCACGTTATATCACGAGTGGGGATACACACAGCCTGTGCGTTAGTGATGCGCGGATGAGCTAAAACGTCACCCGAATCCGCAGCTTCAAATAAATTATCCGGGGCTTGGAAGCCCGCGCTGCGGCCCTCTTTCTCTGAGGAGATTGATGTTGTTTGTGTGACTGAGTGGCTCACGTGCAGCGCATATATTACATCATTTCGTTTTTTGATGTGAATCTTACTACACTAGACCGTATTTACTCGTCTGGTTGTTTGATTGCATTTAATTCTGAGGAATAAAATGAAGTATTTGTCTGACTATGAGAAGTTAGATATACAGGGGCTCTTGGGGTATAGATTTCTCGAGTGAGAGCACGCATTAACCTCTCTTCCTTTGAGGAGGTTGAGGCGGTTAGCAGGGGCTGCTGGGCGGAGCAGTCCCAACCCACCGTGTTCCAGCCCCTCATTCTGGGGGCCTCACTTCTCGTACGCCGCAGAGTCGAGAGTCAGAGTGGCGCTCCCAGGCCGAAGGCTTCTAGCAGAAGGCAGGTCTGCGGACCGTCATTCTCTTATTCAGAGCGTGGTCACAGAAGGCGTTCCCCTAGCGTTTCCGACGAAGCATCTCGTTCCCTCGAGGAACTAGGGTTACATACGTAACCTGAGACGTTTTTGTCTAGTAAAGTCAGTCTGAAATAGCATTTGTATTTTAAATCTATTTTTCTTTGCAATACCATGTGTAACCCGCAGCTACCCGTTTTTAGCGTGCTAGCTATGGTATGAGTGATCAGTTTTTATCCAGGACCAGATGTCAGAAGATTAGGTCGAGTGTATAGGATTAATAACAGAAATTAATGAAAGAAAGAATTCAGACTCAAAGATAAATGTAAATGAAATGAGATGACAATATATTATTCTTGAGTAAATTAAAAAGATGGAAAGGGATTAAAACCAAAATAAACAACGTCAAACAATAGTTCAGTCACAAAAGATACTGAAATTCAAAGTTGAAATATAGATTTTAGAATCAGAATCATATAACCTTCAAGTCAGGAATTCAGATTTCAGACATGTAATATCAAATTCTGTTTCACAATTCAAATTTTGTATGCACATAAAAAAAAATAACAATTTCAAATTTCAAGCTCAATGTCCAAATTTCAATTTGTTCAGTTCCAGTTCAATATGAAAAATTCAAACTCAGTCCAGGGAAAAGTTTGAGGAAAAATAAAATACCACAGTCCAAGGTGAGTATGTTTTGTCCTACCAGTTCAGCCAAATGATTGTTCTTTTTACTTCTAGGTACGATCACTTAACCCTTGTGTTGTGTTCAGAACCCTTTCACACTTACGAGGTTACAGAGCAAAAAAGGCACTCCCTCAAAAAATTGCTTATAAATCAGGTGGCTCGCAATGTCCAAACCACAGAAAGAGCATCCACGGCAGGGACAGATCAGGATTCCAGAGTAGAAATAATGAAACCATAAAACAGGGAAGAAGAAAAAAAAAAAAACCCGGCCAAGGGAAAAAAAATAAGATGAAAGAGGAGAATAAAGAGTATGTCTTGATTTGGCCTTAATCCAGTTAGTTTTTGTCATCTTTCTCATGCGTTTCTAGTTGTCCAGTCTGTTTACACATTTCTCTTTGTCAGCTTCTATTTTTTTAAAGTTTGAGCTTCTAAGGATATTTTTCGCTTCAATAATCTATTTTTTAGATTATTTACAGCATCTAATTTGACTCTTTATTGAATTGACAAATTCAATGTCTCGCATCGCTCTGCATCTTGCTCTGTCACCCTCTGCTCTCTCGTTCTTTTGCACTCCTCTCGTTAACTTTTCTCAGAGGCGGAGCTAACCTCCGACCTCACCCAATCAAAATTACTTTGGCCAATTTTTTTTTTCCTTTTCTAAGTACAATTCAATATAAAACAACTTTAATCAACATTCTCTTCCTATTAATACTAAAGATATATAAACAAAAAAACTTTATAAATTTTAGTGGCCTGTACTCTTAGAGGGGTCATATGATGCAATTTCAATTTTTCCTTTCTCTTTGGAGTGTTACACGCTCTTGGTGCATAAAGAAGATCTGTAAAGCTGCAAAGACTAAAGTCTCAAATCCAAAGAGATATTCTTTATAAAAGTTAAGAGTCAACCATGCCTACCTAAAATGGCTCGTTCTAACACGCCCCCAAATCCAAAGAGATATTCTTTATAAAAGTTAAGAGTCAACCATGCCTACCTAAAATGGCTCGTTCTAACACACCCCCACATGTCTACGTCACGATGTGGGAAGATTTGCATATCACCGCCCAAATGTTCACGCAAAGAAAGAAGTTCGTTCTAAAACAAAATATAACATAAAATAGTGTATTGAAGACCAAGCTCCAGTGAAATATCTTCACAATCCTCTATGATGCCTTTAAGTTAATCATTATGTGTATTTTGGTGTGATTGAGTGGCAGTTTCTCTCTGCAGGTGATTAGGTTGTAGGATGTGACAGCATCTGAAATGCACAATTGAGTTTAAATATACAGTTTGTCTCCTTTCATTTGTTTATGTGAAAACAATTGTTGACGGTCTGTGTTGTTGGATGGCTGAGCTCCAGAAAATCAGTAATAAGGCATCTTAGAGTGTAGCCTCGGTTAGGGTTTTACATTAAAACGACAACAATAACCACAACAGCAGCATGTTGTGTGAATTAAGTATGTGTTTATTGACATACAAAATTGTCAGTGCTCTTAACAACAGTTATTAGCTGAATACATTAATGAATGACAATTGACATTGAACATGAATAAATACATAAAGAAGTAAAACACAAAATAAGAACAAAAAATAGATGTGATGAAGACCAAGTTTCAGTGAAACAATCACAA